GGGGGAGCTCCCGAAAGGCAGCTCCTCGCGGGCGGCGTCTGGGCGCCCCGAGGTCCCTCGCCGGCCTGTGGGCGCCAAGCACGTTTTATTTATCCCCACAGAGGATGCTGGAGGACAAAAGAAATATTTGGACGTCAGAGCTGATTTATATTTTTGGAAGAGCTACGTTTCCTTTTCTGAAGAGAGGCGAGCGCGCCCCATATCCTGAGCTCGGCAGGGAGGACAGGAGGCGAGTTTTGATGCGCCAGGAAGTCCACCGACCGCTGCGGCGCGCAGGGCCCGGCGCCCCGCCGAGCCTGCCGCCCCGGGAGATATTTATTTATTCGGGGGGAAGGGAGGGCACGGGGAGGGGAGGCAAGAGAAGCAAACCCGACCCGGGCTGGGCTGGGCAGGGACCTCCAGGGCGCGCCCGGTCCCTGCGCGCGCAGGCCCGCAGCTCTCGGGCTCCGTCCCTCCCTCTCGGTTGGGGGGCGTCGGGGGAACCACCTGGGACCTCCGGCAGCGTTCAGAGGCCTGCATGATGCCCGCCTCAACCCTCTCCGACCCCCGCTTTGTGCCCGGGGCGACCCTTCAGGTCCCGCGGGCGCCTCGCGTGTGGGTCCGGCCAGCCCTGCCCAGTGTGCGTGCGTGCGAGGCCTGGCCAGCTCCTTCCCAGCCCGGGAAGGCGGGCGGACGGCGCCGAGGCCAAGCCTCCGGAGGCCCGGGGTCGCAGAAGAAGGCACGCAGGGGACCCGTGGTAACCGGAGGCAGGGAGGGCGCAAGGGGCCGGCGCGGAGCTCCAGAGATTCCCCCAAGGCGCCTGCGCCCCGGCCGGCTCCCTACAAAGGTTTCCAGCTCATCCTCAGGCACGAGGACTTTGTTCGCAGCCGCGCAGCTAAGGTGTTGTCGGGCACCAGAACCCACTGCCTGCGGGTGGGCGCGGCGCTCGCCCCTCCCCCCACTCATCTTGCCTCTCCGCTGGGAGCCCACTCTTCCTGGCCCCTTGGGACAAGCCAGGCCTTCCCCTCCCTCTGCCTCTTAGGCGGAGCGGCTGGTCCTGGTCTCAGAGACCCTCCTCTCTGGCCTCGTGGCCTTTCCACCCTTGAACGCAGCAGGCTGTAGGCGACGGCCTGAGAGGTACCCCGCCAGGAACTGCCGCCTCCGCACGGGCTCCGGGCCTTCTAGTCCATACGGGAACCTTCCCAAGGTTTAGGCCTCCCAACCAACAGCACTCGGGGCCTCGAAATCCGGGAAATGCGGAGGTAGGCAGAGGCCTCTTGGCACGGGAGTAGGAGGGACCCGCTTTCCTCCCTCCCCAAACGCACTCCGACAGGGCCAAGTGGGCCACCGAGGCAGGCCCACCGTCCAGCCATGGCGCTTCTCTCAGGAAGGGGGCTATTAACAGCGCACTGCCCGAGACACAGGCGTTAGGAGAGCGGAAGAATCTATCCAAATAAACACTCGGAATTGGGTGGCTGGAGTTCAAACCCGGAGGTCTGGGAGGGTTCTGGACCGAGGAAGAGAGCGGACGACAGGAACGGGGCGGGAGTCCCACCGTTCTCCCTCTCCAGTCTCTGCGTCCACGCACCCTCGTCCACCCAGCGCTGCTCCCCGCCGCTCTCCGCTGTCGAGGCTGGCAGCCTCCAGCAGGGCCTGCGCGGCGCGCATTGTAGAGGATCCTCCGTGGTCTCCTCCCTAGGCCCCCAGCACTGTCTACAGTCCCCATTGAGAAAGGCCTCGCGGGAGTTCGAGAATCCTCCACCCACCCCAAGCGTGCACCTAACCGACTGCGTGAAAAGAGTGGTCGCTTGCACCCAGAGTCGGGAAGAGGCCGAGCTGCGCCCGGGCGGGGCGGAAGGAAGGGCGGGGTGCGGCGGCGCGCGAAGTGCCCGGCGGCGCGGACGGCTCCGAAGGCTGTGGACCTTGCGGGCACCCGCTGCGTCTCTCCCGTCGGCAACTGGTTTAGACTGAGCCATTTCATGTAAAACCCACCAGCAGGGGAAGCACGCTAGGAACATAAGATTGAAACCGCAAGCATGATGAGATTTCCTAGAATAAAACGCCGATTACAGAACAAAAATGGGAGACACCCAAGCTTCCCCAAATTTACATTCCCTTGCGCCGGGGGAAGGCAGGGATGGGACCCAGGGGTTTGGAGCGGCGGGAAGGAGCCGCAACCCAGCAGGAGACAGGCCAAGGGGACAGGAGGGAGGGCCGGTGGGCCCTTGGCCGTGCGTTTCAGGTTGACCGAGGAGCGCCGGGCTGGTGGAGAATCAGGGAAACGAATGGTGTTTTTTCTTCCCGTAAGGGGGAACAAAATCAAGGTTTTTGTTGTTTACAAACAGTGGAGGTCACTGTAGTCACCCCCGTACGAAGTGACCTGGAAGACCGGACAGCCATCCTAAGCCAGGCAGGGTGTAGAGGCCAGCACAATTTTCCTTTGAAATTCTGCCTGCCACATACCCCCGCCAGGGATAAAGGATCGGGCACAATGTGTTATCACATGCATTCTTAGCCCAAAGATCTGTGTGCATCAGGGTTTAAAGCAAAGCTTTGCTGTGGGTAGGAGGAGGAGCCCAGGCTGCAGGCCAGCTGTGTCACTTGGCTAGGCGTGGCTCCTGGCAAGTCATCCAGCCTCTCCCAGGCCCCCTTTGGTCACCTCTGAAGGAGGAAGATGGCATCTGGGCTGTGCCACGGTGACCCCTTCCTGGGCACGCTGTGGCCGAAACGTGGCATTCTAGCCCTGGGCAGCTTCTGCCAGGGAAAGGTTTCCCCGGGCCCAGTGGGGTCTCCACAACGGAGCCCCTCCTGCTCAGATCACTTCAGAAAACCAGCACGCCGCCTCTCCCTCCTCTCCCGCTGCAGTGCAGGGGCTGTAGGAGGCAGAGCTGTGGAGAGAGCAGGCTCCACCCGGGCTCCACCTGATCTCCAGCACCCCAGTGCCAGGCTGGACCCCGCGACGCTTGCCACACTGTGAGTGGACTTCCTGCCAATTCAGAGAGTTTAGGTTAAATGGCTATCACTTGCACTTGGATGGACAAGGGAGCCTGAAACAATCCCTCACAGTCTGACCAGCTGAACAGTAGAAGCTAAGACAAAAACTAAGTGTTCGTAGAGTAAGGTGACTTTTTTTTTTTTATTGAGTTTCTGCAGACCATCTAAAATCCCAGGCAAGTTGGAATTTTTTTCTTCTTCTGGAAGCAGGTCCATATTCTCAAAGGGAGCCCTAACTCCCACCCTGGGCACTACTCAGGTAGAGGGTTATCCTGGCTTTTAGGGTTAGTGTCTTTTATTCTTCCGTCTCTGTCTCCTACAACCTTTCAGAAGCCAGCTCCTCTCAGAGCACCGATATTCACAGAATTCCCAGGTGCAGAAAATCCAAGGAGTCCCTGGCTAAGTGACAATGACGGTGACTGGCACAAGGAGCCAGAGGCCACTGCCCACCACCCTCACCTACAAATGAGACATTGTTGTGCTAAGCTGGTGCTCCAGCCACCCCAACACTCTCTCTCTCTCTCTCTCTCTCTCTCACTCACTGGGGCCCCTTTTCGATACTATGTCCTTGCCACTCTGGTTTCTATTTTAGTTACTTAATTTCTTTTTTCAGACACTTAGAGCGGTCAGTGAACACACTGGGCTTACCTCTACACTTAGTCATTTATCTAAGTTATCCTACATAAAATTACAAACGAAGCGAAGCGGAGGCGGGGATGAACCCATTAGGAAATAAAAGGGGACTGACCTGCTCCCCTCAAAACGTTCTCCTGTCAGAAAGAAAGTGGGAACCACGGCGAGCCCCTGCCCCAACCCAATCCAAACATCCCTTCCGGAAAAGAGCGACTTGTTTCTCTTTTCTCTTGGAAATGAGTGGTAAACTCAGTTCGGGTTGGCTGTGTTTTCTTAGCTGACTCTGGGCTACAATCAAGCCATTTTCGGACACATTCCCATGTAGGTACCAGCGGTGCTCTGGAGGAAGCTGTCGACGCCTGTTCAGCTAATTTAGGTTTTCTTTGTCTAATTACTGTGGAGCTTAGGGAAAAGGAGCCGGGCTCAGGGCAGTAAACTGACACTCGGGCTCTGTGGGTGGTATCCAGGCAGGGTCTGATGGAAAAAGCCTGCTTCCACTCAACTTCAGGTCACTGTCTGGGGCCAGCCCCAGCCCTGCACCCCCCACACGCCTCCCCCAGACCCACCGGCACACTCAACCCCTGTGCACTCGGGGATCCCCCCAGGGCTCCAGCCAGCCCCACAGGGACCTGCCTGCATTCTGTCGGTGGAAGCTCTTTGCCTGCCCTTGCAGACTCCTGCACAGTCCCCGCATCTCGCCCACCCCCGGGCCCCCCAGCACGCCCCCCACACCCACCCTTGCACCTGGGTCCTCTCTGGGTAGACACAGAGGTGCCTGCAGCTCGGCCTCCTATTTGGCCAGCTGGTCTCCAGGGCCTTCCCTCTGGCCTCCCCATCCACCCTGGTGCGGCCGGAGGCTCCCAGCCCCGTCCCTGGTCAGACCACACTTCCCTGCACGTGTAATCCAATAACCAACTGTCGACTCTCATTGCAAATGATTTCTCCCGGGGCACATCTCTCTTACTGAGCCAGGAACTGGCCACAACCAGGGCGGCGGATCAGGGCCAGAGCTGGCTTAGAGACAGCACTTTTCCTTTTTCTTTTTTGGGTCGGCCACGTTGACACCAAGCACGTAAACCTCAAGACAGCCCCAGAAGCCCTTCAGGATGGAGTAGAAATAAGGTTCTCTCTCTTATCTCAGGTCAGCCTTTTTTTTTTTTTTTTTTTTTGCATTCCCCCCCCCCCCAATGAAGTGCAAGCAAACGCAAACACGAGGCCTGTCAAACGCGGCCTGGGCTCCAAGTTCCGCAAAGGTCCACGGTCGCCCGGGGGCGCACGCAGCCTTGGGGCGCCCCAGCGCTAGCAACCGTCGCGGAGCGCGCAGGCCAGAGAGAGAGAGAGAGAGAGAGAGAGAGAGAGAGGGGAGAGGCAGGGAGGGAGGGTCGGCACGTTACCTTTGGGCGTCTGGCACCCCGGCGTGTGGCAGAGGGCCGCAGTGTCTAAACGCAGCTGACAGATGGTGTCAGTGCGGCCCTGGAAAGGCGGCTAAGGAGTCTCCGGGCTGAGGAGAGACCGCTCGGCCGGGGCCGCGCCGGCAGGAGGAAGGGGGGAGGGGAGGAGGGCGCCGGGGAAGGGGGAGGGGAGCAGGGGGGTGGGTCCGCTCCGCGGGGGGCGGGAAGCGGGGGCGAAAGAAGATTTGGTGAAGTCTTAGGTGGTCGAGTTTGGCTGGGGTTGGGGGAGGGGAGGGGAGGGGACGGGAGGGGGCGGGGGGTGGAACTCCGCAAAATGTGAGTCGGTGCGCGATGGCTTCGTCTGCAAACCGGCGCACGGGGGAAAGGGAAAGGAGGCCGAGGGAGGAAGTGAAGGAGCACGGGGACCCCGGAGAGCGAGCGCCGAGATAAGAGAGGGAGCCGGCCGCCAGGCTGGGAGGGGCGCGGGCGAGCGCCGCGGCGGAGGAGGGGGCAGGGCGGGCTGGGGGTGGAGGGAGGGAGCGCGGGCGGCCGGGGGAGGGCGCGGGAGGGAGGAAGTCCCAGAGACAGAGCGAGCCGCGCTCCTGCAGGAGACGTCGGGCGCGTCCCCCGGGTCCCGGCCGCGGTCCCAGCTCGCGGGCGCAGCCGCCCGGCTCCCGGCCGCTGGGGCTGCGCGGCCTGGGCGGCCGTTGCGCAAGGCAGGGGCCCGCGCGGCCCCGGGGAGGGATGTGCCGGGCGTTGCCTCCGGCCCGCCGCCGCCGCGGCCAGAAGCCCCAGAGGAGCTGAGCGGGGCGGACGCCGCCGAAGCGCTGGCCCGGAGCGGCCACGGCTGCAGCCCGGGCGGCGGGCTAGGGCGCTCGCCGGGCTTCTGGGCCGACCCCGCTCCGGCGCCTCCGCTCGCGGCCCGGGGCCCGCCCCCGCGGCTCGGCCTCGCTCCCGGGTCCCAGATGACCACCGAGGGCGGGCCGCCGCCACCCCCGCCGCGCCCGCCGCCGGCCCCGCTCCGCCGCGCGTGCAGCCCGGCCCCCGGCGCGCTGCAGGCCGCCTTGATGAGCGCGCCGGCCGCCGCCGCCCTGGAGACCGCCGCCACCTCCTCGTCGTCGTCCTCGTCCTCGTCCTCGTCGTCCTCCTCCTCCTCCTCCAACTCGGCCGGCGCCTCCTCGGCCGCCTGCAAGAGCTCGAGCGGCGGCGGCGGCGCGGGCGCGGGCAGCGGGGGCCCCAAGAAGGCGAGCTCGGGGCTGCGGCGGCCGGAGAAGCCGCCCTACTCGTACATCGCGCTCATCGTCATGGCCATCCAGAGCTCGCCCAGCAAGCGCCTGACGCTCAGCGAGATCTACCAGTTCCTGCAGGCGCGCTTCCCCTTCTTCCGCGGAGCCTACCAGGGCTGGAAGAACTCGGTGCGCCACAACCTCTCGCTCAACGAGTGCTTCATCAAGCTGCCCAAGGGCCTCGGGCGGCCCGGCAAGGGCCACTACTGGACCATCGACCCGGCCAGCGAGTTCATGTTCGAGGAGGGCTCGTTCCGCCGCCGGCCGCGCGGCTTCAGGCGGAAGTGCCAGGCGCTCAAGCCCATGTACCACCGTGTGGTCAGCGGCCTGGGCTTCGGGGCCTCGCTGCTGCCCCAGGGCTTCGACTTCCAGGCGCCCCCGTCGGCGCCGCTCGGCTGCCACGGCCAGGGCGGCTACGGCGGCCTCGACATGATGGCCACGGGCTACGACGCCGGCGCGGGCGCCCCGGGCCACGCGCACCCGCACCACCACCACCACCACCACGTCCCGCACATGTCGCCCAACCCGGGTTCCACCTACATGGCCAGCTGCCCCGTGCCCGCGGGTCCTGGGGCCGTCGGCGCGGCCGGGGGCGTCGGCGGCGGCGGGGGCAGCGGCGGCGGCGGAGACTACGGGCCGGACAGCAGCAGCAGCCCCGTGCCCTCGTCCCCGGCCATGGCGAGCGCCATCGAGTGCCACTCGCCCTACACGAGCCCTGCGGCGCACTGGAGCTCGCCCGGCGCCTCGCCTTACCTCAAGCAGCCGCCCGCCCTGACGCCCAGCGGCAACCCCGCGGGCGCCGCGGGCCTGCACGCCAGTATGTCGTCCTACTCGCTGGAGCAGAGCTACCTGCACCAGAACGCGCGCGAGGACCTGTCAGGTAACGCTGCGTGCCCCTGTCTCTGCCCGACGGGCCCCGGGGTGGAGGGCAGCGGGTGCCGGCGGGGCGGGCCTGCCGGGAGCGCAGAGTCGCCCGCGGGCGTCGGGGGTGAGGGCCCGACTTGGCTTTGAGGGAAGGCGTGTCTTGGCGCCACCTCGATCAGGGAGCTGTGTCTGGTTCCCCCTCGACTTGGACTAGTTTTTAATACTTTAAGTTTTGAAAAGTTGCCTTTGTGGTACTGCTGTCTAAGGGTGAAACACCGGGCGGTGCTGGCGTCTGGGATGTGGACTGGGGAGTCCCTCGCGGTGCCCACGCGGTGGGCCGAGAGGAGCTCGGGGGTGGCGTGGGGGGAGGCCCAGGGTCTTTCTCTGGAGGGCGCGGCCAGTGGACAGGGGTGCCCAGCTGGCTGCCAGCCCCCGCCCCTCGGGCCCTGCTGCGCCTCCCTGAGAGCTGTGCCTGCGCCCCGGCGGCCACCGGCGAGGCTGCTTCACATCGCGCTGGTCGGGGACCTGGATGTTTGGCGGGTTTATCCGGGAAGCAGTGAAGGTCCATCCTTGCAGGCCCCCCTGGCATCCCTAGGACCAGCGGGGCGGTGATAGCGAGGCCCACAAGGGCAGCAGACGCTCAGCGCCCATGGGCAGCGCCTCCCGTACCCATTCTGACTCCTCGGTGTGCCTGCCACAGCAGCATCGGGGCACAGAGGAAGCCCAGAAATGGGCAAAAGATGTCGGCCTCCCGGCCGGAGAAATTTCCCAAATAGGCCTTTTAAATGCGGGTCTCAGAGGTTACCTAAACAAAGTCTGGGTAGGACCACACGGGAGAGGATTTTAGCCTGACTTAACCCACTGAGAACAGAGACTTGTTCACTTTTATGGGAATTTCAACACGTAACCAATACAGACGACCTCCCCTCTTTTTTTTTTTTAATCCCCTCGGACTGGCTGTCAATCACACATCGCCCCCCCCCCCCCAAGGGACGGAGGGATTTTGAGGGTTTTTTGCCGGCCGGGTCGGGGCCCGAAGCGAGGAAAAGTGAGGGGGAGGGACGCTGATCAAGTCTCGGCGAAACACTTTTCCAGCCAGAAGTTAACACAGCAGGCGGGCAAGAGACTCCCGCCCGGCCTACGGGGCCACCCTCGTGCGGTGCCTCACCCTGGGCGACACGACCCGTTGTCCTGAGAGGCTGGGACCCGCACTGCCCGCGCGGGAGCACACAGGAGGCCTGACGCTCTACCCGGACGCGCTGCCCCTTCCTCCCACCCAGCCCTCCCAGGCTGGACCTGGGGTCTCCCCGGCCGCCTGGAGGCAGGGGCTTCTGAGGGAGCCTACCGGGAGCGCCCGGGGCCCTTCGCTTGGTCAGGCGTGGTCCCCGCCACTGGACGGCGCGGGGCGATCGGGCAGGGCCGAGGACATCCCCCTGTCCCAGGACACAGCTCGGCACACGCGCGCACACATCCAGGCGGGCCGCGCCCGCCATCCCCCGAAACCCGTGACCCCGGGCAGCCTTGGGCGCAGGGAGGCCGCGGGCCGCGGGCCTCGCCAGGGCTGGGGGTGGCGGCGCGCCCTTCTTTCGGCCGGGTCAGCCCTGCAAGGAGCCGCTCTGGCTTTTACCGTCTCGCCCAGCACATCAAAGCGCCGGCGGCTGCCCGGGTCGCGAGGCATGGGCGCTCCCCCCGCCCCGGGTCCCGCGGGCTTGTGGTGGTCTGGGAGCTGGCACCGCCTAGCGCCTTAACCCGGAGAGTGAACGCACCCTGTGCGCAGCGCCACGCACACAGCGGGGCGCATGAGCCGGCGGCGGCTTTCTTAGACTCACGTAGGCCGAGTCCCCCGCCACTGCGCAGCCCGGCAGCTCCGTGAGCGCCAGGGACCCGGCCGGGCCTGAGCCCCTCGCTGGTACAGTTTTCCTGCGCTGAAAGGCTTCATCCAGCCCGGCACGAATGTGCGGTGTGTGGTCCCCACCCTGTCTGGGTGACCAGAACAAAGACCCAGGCGAACAGGCCTCACCAGGCCTTGGTCCAAGAGATGCCCGGGCACCCCCACCGCCAGGCGAAGTGCGCCCAGGCGCCGCGAGGCGCAGTGAAAGCAAAAGCAAAACTGGGCGGCAGGTCGGCGCCTGAGCCCAGGACCCGTCTGGAGGGAGCGGGTACTGGGCCTTCTCCGTCCCCTGCCAGCCGCGGCTCCCTCGGGACGCCCGATGCTGCGAGTCTCCCGCGACTGGAGGGCGCGTCTCTCCTCCTTGCTGTCCTGGCTTCCCTGGGGGGATCTGTGGAGGGGAAGAGAGAGCTTCGTCAGCCTCCCCCGCCCCGTCGCCCCGCGCTGCGACTGTGTGCGGTACTTCTTTGTCACAAAGAATATTGCTCCGCTGCCCCTCGCCCTGAACTGCCGGGGAACGGCGCACGGCCAAGCGAGTGGGGCTCTGGGGCGCTTGGTGGCCCTGCACCCTGGGGCTCACCCTCGGCTGACAGTGGTGGCCCTCTGTCTAGGGGGCAGCTGGCTCTGCAGCCCTGTGTGCTCCAAACCAGCATCCCGGAGGGGAACGGAGAGTCCCAGAGCTGGGCTTGTCTTTGCCAGCAGTGCACGGAGAGTCGCCGAAACCCGCCGCCTCGGGGAACTGAGGGGCAGAATGTGGTGCCCAGGGCTCGGCTGGCGACAGGTTCTTTTCCTTTCCTCTTTCAGTGGGACTGCCTCGCTACCAGCCTCACTCAACTCCGGTGTGCGACAGAAAGGACTTCGTCCTCAATTTCAACGGCATTTCTTCCTTCCACCCCTCGGCCAGCGGGTCATACTATCACCACCACCACCAGAGCGTGTGCCAGGACATCAAGCCCTGCGTCATGTGAACAACCGGGGGCCGTGTGGTGGCCCCCACCCCCACCCCTCCTCTCCTCTCTCCTCTGCAGCCAGGGGCGGACGGGAACGGCGAGGACTCGCCCTTGCAGTAAGTAGCCCGCAGCCGCAGCCAGAGTGCCCAGGAGAGCCTGGGCCGCTGACACTCGCCTTACTCTTGCAAGGGGTCCAGGCTTGGCCAGGTGACACCGCAGGCTCCCTGAGGAGAGAGCAGGGGGACTTAGGAGCTGTGTCACACGGAAACGTTGCACGCTGGGGCCAGGAGACAAGGTGTGCGTGTGCGTGTGTTTCTCTTTGTCTCTGGAAACTTGTGTGCTTTTCAAAAAGGCCGTGCTAAGCACAGGAGTTGGAGAAAAATCCGCACGTTGCTGGCCAGCTGAGACGGGGAGCTCGGTTTCACCTAGACACTACTACGTTAGGAGACAGGTGCCAAAGACAGCGATCGGGAGCTCGCTCGGCAGCCACGCGTGGAGCTGGAGAAGTGGTTTCGGTCTCGCGACAAGATGACGTTTTTACAAGGCTGTTTTTACACCCTGTTTTAGAGATATTTTTATGATCTTCGTCTATACTCTCACTTCGCTTGTATTTTCAAAGGAGGATATATTTACACGTATGTATACTTTTACAGTTTGCCAAAAATATAATTTTGATGTAAAATTTTTTTTCAATAAAATGTATATAACAAATAGTTGTGTTAGGGACCCGGTTCCTCCCGCGGGCACCCGTGCTCCTCCCCCAGCCCCCGGTGCAATTCTACACTGTCCTCCCTCCCCCACCGGCTGTGTAGTTCACTTGGTGTGGGGCCTGTGTCTTGAAAAACACAGGCCAGGTCGGACGGTGGCCTTCCCTGGGCGAGAAAGGAGAAAGAGCAAGAGCGGTGCCTCTGCTTTCTTGCTGTGCGCCACCCTTGCTTTTTCTGGTCAAACAAAAACCAGAAGGTAAAAGGGACTGTAGAAGAAACCCTGGCAAGAAAGAGCAGCGAGGGTCGCACTTAAGGAAACTTGGTGCCCTCTTTGGCTTTTGTTCCACAGCCCAAAGACAGCTGGGCCCTTGTCTGTCTCCTCGCTCACCCCGGGGGGGGGGGGTGACAAACATAGGGGCAGAAAGCCACCAGGGAGCAGGCCCTGCGTCCCCGTCCCCGCTGTAGGAGGCAGCTGGGTCCCGGCCCTCGACCCTTCCAAGAGAGGAAGGCGCTAAGCACCAGGCCCTGGGCACTCCGCAAGCTTCAGGGCTGCCCCGATTTCTGGGAGAGGAGCAGCAGCTGGGGGTTCCCCACCAGGTGCTCTGTGGCTGCGGTGAGGCCCGCCTACCCCTCCCCAGGCCTCCTGCACCCCTCCCCTGTTCTCTCCTTTTTTCTCCAGCAGATCTGGCCGGTTCTGGGGGGGATGCCCCCTTCTTCCTCTCTTGCTAGGTTCCCATTCCCCACTCTTGACTGTGACAGAGCTGATGAGAGAGAGAGAGAGAGAGAGAGAGAGAGAGAACAGGTCGGCGAGGCAGGACACTGCTCTGTGCCATGAAACCAGTGGGTCTGAGCGGGCACACACATGTCCCTCAGCCACTGTCAGCTTTGCTCCACACTCAGGGCTGCCTTGTTGTTTTTGCTTTCCTGAATGGGGGAAAATAAAAAAACCCTCACCTCCAGTTCTCAGCCCTAGAAGGTCTTCCTCACGATCAATCCATCACTCGGCTCTGGATGCCACCCAGGAGACAGCTCCCGCGTGGGGTGTTTGCAACATCTCCCAAGCGAGACCATCACAAATCTCAACCCTCGTCCTAATCCTTGTTTCCTTCCTAGAGTTTCCAAGACGAAGCAGCGATTTAAACGTTTATTTGGTCTCCCTATTATCATATTTGCTGTTCAACAGGGCCGCTTCTTTTTTTCTTCTTCTTCCCCCTTTTTTTTTTTTTTTTTGTTCTTTTATACCGAGCTACTCGGGGCCTGCTATAAATTACGAAGTCAGTTTCAGAGTTTGCTCCGACCACAGTGCTGTGTTTACATTCCTTCCGAGGCAGCCGGCATGGTCGTAATTTATATCCTAAACACTTGAACGTAACTTGTTTATACAGAGAATGACAGGGCCTCGAAGACAAAAACTCGGCCTCTGTCCGACCGGCCGCATTGGGAGGGCCAGCGCGCCCCCTGCTGGCTCAGGGGGGGCTTGCGCACGGGGATTCGGAGTTTCTGGAAGAATGGCTGAAAACCTGACAAACGACCCATTCTGTGAGTGCCTTGCAGACAGACGCCTTCTGCCTGTAGGGAGTACTTTCGCTTGCTTTCTACGGGACTCTCCTTGCGATTCCTATCTCGTCCTGGAGTTGGATCCAGGAGCACTGCCAGGCCCGACCACGTGTCATCGGTGCCCAAGCCCTCATTGGCATCCTCTGTGCTTCCTGTCTAGAGTTGGCCCACAAACAAGTCGTTGTTTGGTTTCCTTCTCTCCTGTCTCCCCTTCAGGCACACGCGTGCACACACACACGCATCTTTGTGCTGTTGCTGTTGACGTCATGCAGGTCCTTGCTCTGTGTGTTGCCCACGTGTACAATGCGTTCTAAATCAAGCCCAGCAATCCTTTCGTGGTGAAAAGGCATGAGCTAACCCAAAGAGCGTTAATGCCTCCACTGTTTTGTTTTCGGTTGTGTGTGGGAAGCGTAGAGTTTCTGCTCGTTGGCAGAATAAAGTGACGTATAAGAAGCCACTGGACTGTTTGGTGGAAGAATTATTTTCTGCTTGTCCTTTTAGTTAGAGCTGTTTAGAGAAGGTAGGAACCGGGAAGCCCTGAGCTTCTCCCAGGTGCTGGCCACCGTAGTTGTCTTGTTAAAGCCCCGTCTGGTCCTCCGTCAGTGCCCCTGTCATCTGTGGGGATTCTGTTCCTGTTCACGCATCTGAACCGGGGGTTGTGACCTTCAGAGGTTTGAGCCACATCTTCTGATTTGGGTTTGTTTCTTGCATTTCCCCAAAACTGCTGGTGAGAACTGTGCGCCTGACACTGCGCACGTAGGAGCAGCGAGGTCTGCAGTCCAAGGCAGTGGCTGTCCTGAGACTTGGGGGTGCACCGGAACCCCTGGAGGGCTGCTGGCCCTCACACTGGCTGCCTGCAGCCCCAGTTCTGACTCCTGTTCAGTTCCCAGGTGGTGCTCAGGCTGCTGATAGGCAGCTGCTGTGAGGGGTTTCCTTGCAGGTTCAGAAGAGGGGTGTCCAGGCTAGCCCGCTCGTTAGGCACAGGTCCGAGAAGGTTTGGGGAAAGAGTTTGTGCACCCAGATGCCCCTGTCCTTGATTACTGGCCCCTGGAAAAATGCAGCACCCAGTTCAGAACCCTGGGCCAGGAAGTTGGATCTCCCGGTTCCTGTTCAAAAACAGCAGACCTCTTGTTTCATTGCAGTGTTGCAGAGGAGTCAGGTGGGCTCACTGAAACCCACCTGCCTGGGGACAGCAGGTCCAGAGTTCTCCGGCTGGCTGGCTCAGCAGGGGGTTATCAGACCTTCAGGAAAGAGAGGGGTCAGGATGTTGGGCATACAATAGCCTAGGTCCCAGGAGGCAGGGGCCAGAGAGACCCTCAGAGACAGAGGGGGGAGATGGAGAGGGAAGAGACACAGAGAGGGACAGGAAGCAAGTCGGAGAGAGAGGGGAGAAAGAAAGAGGTGAGTAGGAGGCCGGTGCCGCGGCTCAATAGGCTAATCCTCCGCCTTGCGGCGCCGGCACACCGGGTTCTAGTCCCAGTCGGGGCACCGGATTCTGTCCCAGTTGCCCCTCTTCCAGGCCAGCTCTCTGCTGTGGCCCGGGAGTGCAGTGGAGGATGGCCCAAGTGCTTGGGCCCTGTACCCGCATGGGAGACCAGGAGAAGCACCTGGCTCCTGCCTTCAGATAGGCGCGGTGCGCCGGCCGCAGCGCGCCGGCCGTGGCGGCTATTGGAAGGTGAACCAACAGCCAAAGGAAGACCTTTTTCTCTGTCTCTCTCTCACTGTCCACTCTGCCTGTCCAAAAAAAAAAAGTGAGTAGGAAGAAGGAGGGGGAGAGGAGGGAGAGAAAAAAGAGGTGGATGGACAGGTGGGGGAAAGAGACAGGGAGTGAGGGAGGGAAAAGGCAGGGGGGAGAGGAGGCAGGAGAGAACTGGAGAGAGGAGAGGGCTGGGCCGCAGGGAGCAGCGGCCCTGGGGGCCGGACGCCTGCCCTCTGGGGCCACCGCGGTCTCCCGGGTCTCCAGTGCCCACATCTTGGCCAAGGGCCCGAGTGCTCCTGTTTTGCTTGGCTCCGGCTTGAAGTGGGGGGAGGCAGTGGCTTCTCTCGCTGTGCGTGCCCGAATTGCCTGAAGCCTGGAGAATGCAGCGGGAATCCTTGCGCCTCGCATTTGACCTCGAAAAGCTGAACTTCGCAGGCACAGGGGTGGGGGATGCCTGTCTGGGCACCAGGGATGAGCTGCTGGGTGCCCCTGAGTGCAGAGAGCGGCTCCCTCCCCCAGGGAAAATCTCTCTCTGTAGCTTCCTGGATGCCTAATTACTGTGCCTCGTGGCAATGCATTGAAAACAGGCACTGGCTTACTTAGGATGGAAATGTATTTTAATATATTTTATCAGGACGGAAGTACATTTGACTAACCCTGCCTCTGTGAAACACTATCTTAGCAAGCAAAAACAGCGCCCATGTAGACATGGGGCCAGCGGGGCCCCGGCACACGGATATCAAGATCCTTGGGCGGAAGAATGAAAGGGCGGGAAGTTCTTTTGGAGTTCAGAGCGCCCGAGTCCACCCACAGGGACCCCGCAGGCAGGCACACAGCTCTGCCTTTCCCGGGGGTCCCGTGTGACATGGATCCCTGGTGTCCTGCCAGCTCTCCCTGCCTGAGGGTAGTCAGGGGGGAAGAGAGGAACGCGGAGGAGCAGCAGGGCCCTGGTGCCCCCTGGAAGGGCTCCATGCTCTCCTGCAGCCGGCCTTGGCCTCCTGGAGCACCCTGTCTCACGCCCCGGGAGCCTGGGCCGCAGCTGGGCACATGGCTTGGCACCACCTCCCAGCCTCCCAAGCCGCCTGTGCTTGGGGCGAGGCCGCCTTGGAGTGCGGGGAGAGGGGCAAGACCTGCTTCCCGTCTCTCCTGGTGGCCGCTGGGTGCCGCCCCTCCCTTTCCCTCCTCG